TAATTTCCAGATGAAATACTGACCAGAAACCCCCCAATAATTGGAAGCAATTTAGTATACATGTGTGTACATATGTGTTTATATATGTGTGTGTGTGTATATGTATAAATAAATAAATGAATAATAATACAAATGAACCTTAAACAGAACAACATGTGTGGAAGCATCAGGGTGTGTATATATGAATGCTACACAGTATTCATCTATGGACATCCATATATGGTGAAACACATGTGAAGAACCTCTCACACACTCACAGCTCCCTGACAATAGGGAGCCAGCTTAGCTTAGCTGCCAACGTTGCAACCCGTTCTCGCAAATTCGTAAAGTCAATATTGACTTATTAACTACGTGCATAGGTGATATACTAAACATAATAGATACCCTTAAAAAGATTCATAGAAAACACCGACCTTACCTAACCTTGTTAGTATCCTAAGATAAGCATCTTATTGCTTCGTAATTACAATTATTACTTAACCTATACCTATTATAGGTTAGGTAATAATTGTAATTACGAAGCTATAAGATGCTTATCTTAAGATACTAACAAGGTTAGGTAAGGTCGGTGTTTTCTATGAATCTTTTTAAGGGTATCTATTATGTTAAGTATGTCACCTATGCACATATTTAATAAGTCAATATTGACTTATTAAATTTGCGAGAACGGGTTGCACACTCACACATCGTGTCAGCAAGGCGGACAGCTCGCCGCCTGCTTTCATACCTCTCACTGTATTTCCCACTTCTAAACTTTCCTTCACTTACGCCTCTCCATCCTCTTTACTCCCCCCCCCCCCTTAAAAAAAACAAGTGAGGCTGTTGTTGTCACCGTGTGTGTGTGGGGGGGGGGGGGATTGATTTATTCAATGGCGCGGCGCCTTGGGTAATGGACGCGTCAGTGAGACTGTCGGTTAAGCTCAGTTATGTCTGGCCAGTAACTGGTTGGGTGGATAACCTTGCCCGTGGTTACCGAGGACCTTGACTAGCCCTACGTGTTTTCCTGCCCCCCCCCCCCCCCGGAAGTGGTTTACGCGGTAAACAAAGCTAATATTAATGTGGTTTACGGACACCTGACAACATTTGGAACCTGTTGACACGAATTTTTCTTCTGATTTGAATAATACGTTCCTGGTCAGCTAACTCTTGTCGTTCCTTAACTTGACGTTTGTCGTTCCTTAACTTGACGTTTGTCGTTCCTTAACTTGACGTTTGTCGTTCCTTAACTTGACGTTTGTCGTTCCTTAACTTGACGTTTGTCGTTCCTTAACTTGACGTTTATCGTTCCTTAACTTGACGTTTATCGTTCCTTAACTTGACGTTTATCGTTCCTTAGCTTGACGTTTGCCGTTCCTTAACTTGACGTTTGCCGTTCCTTAACTTGACGTTTGCCGTTCCTTGACTTGACGTTTGCCGTTCCTTGACTTGACGTTTGTCGTTCCTTAACTTGACGTTTGTCGTTCCTTAACTTGACGTTTGTCGTTCCTTAACTTGACGTTTGTCGTTCCTTAACTTGACGTTTATCGTTCCTTGACTTGACGTTTAGCGTTCCGTGGCTGCTGGTTGTGGATGGATACTGGCCTGTAGTTCAGTGCCTCTTGTCTGTCACCCTTTTTGTATATTGGGACTACATTAGCCGTCTTCCATATTTCTGGTAGGTCTCCCGTCTCCAGTGACCTACTATACACTATGGAGAGTGGCAAGCAAAGTGCCTTTGCACACTCTTTCAGTACCCATACCTTACCTTGAGGTGGTTACCTTAAGGTGCTTCCGGGGCTTGCCGCCTGGTTTACTGCCACCTATTCTAGGGCAGTGACGTCAACGCGTTCTCTTATTGAGACCTCCTGGAACCTCTTGTTGCGTTCTTCACACACCTCTTTGTCATTCTCTGTGTACCCGTCCTCACCCGTTCTAAGTTTCATCACCTGTTTTTTAACTGTTGTGAAAGTTGTGTGTGTGTACACTCACGTAGAACTCGCGTACCTTGCTTGATACTGGTTGATGAGGTTCTGGGAGTTTTTCTCCCCAAGCCCGGCCCGAGGCCAGGCTTGACTTGTGAGAGTTTGATCCACCAGGCTGTTGCTTGGAGCGGCCCGCAGGCCCACATACCCACCACTGCCCGGCTGGTCCGGAACTTCTTTTAGAAAACAGTCCAGTTTTCTCTTGAAGATGTCCACGGTTGTTCCGGCAATATTTCTTATAGTCGCTGGGAGGACGTTGAACAACCGCGGACCCCTGATGTTTATACAGTGTTCTCTGATTGTGCCTATGGCACCTCTACTCTTAACTGGTTGTATCTTGCATTTTCTTTTAATTTTCGTAGTTGTGCTTGCAGGGGTTGAGCTTCGGCTCTCTGGTCCCTGAAACTGTGTGTGTATCCACGTTCATGTTAAGTACTGTACTTGGAGCTAAGCTCAGTAAATTCAGAGTGACAAGGAGGGCAGGTGATGATAGTGCCATGGTTGTCTACATCGCGTGCCAACTACGGTAACAAGGACTACAACTAATTGTAGCAGGTAGCCTAACACACTGGAGATCGCCGGATTGTTTTAAGCGAAGGTTAGACATGTATATGGATGAGTTTGGGTATAAATATTAACTGCCTCGGATGAGTTAATAAGCTTCCTGCAATGTTGGGTCCTCGGAAGTTGGACATAGGGTATTGCCGCGGGGTTGCCAGCCGCGGGCATGGGTGGTTGTGTAGGGGATCAATAGGGAGTGTCAACCCTTGTCTCTGGCAACG